CTGACCATACAGAAATGAAAAGAATTATAGGAGAATATTATAAACAATTGTATGCCAACAAACTGGATAGCCTAATGAAATGGAAAAATTTCTAGAAACATACAAACTACTGAAATTGACTCAAGAAGAAATAGATAATCTCAACAGACCTGTAACAAGGTAAGAGATTAAACAGTACTCAATCTAGCTAAAAGTTTGTCAGTTTCATTGATGTTTTCAAAGAACCAACTTCTGGTTTTGTTGATTCTCTCTATTGCTTTTCTATTCTCTGTTCCATTTAATTCTGCTCTGATCTTTGTTATTTCTTTCCTTCTGGTAGCTTTTAGTTTGCTCTTTTTTTTTTTTCTAGTTCGTCAAGTTGTAGAATTATGCTATTGATGTGAGATCTTTCTTCTTTTTCAATGTAGGTGTTTGTTGCTATAAACTTGCCTCTAAGCACTATTGCATCTCATAGGTTTTGGTAGTTATGCTTTCGTTTCATTTATCACCAAGTACTTTCTAATTTCTATGTGATTTCTTCTTTAACCCACTGGTTTTTTAAGAGTGTGCTATTTAACTTCCCCATTTTTGTGAAATTTCCAGTTTATTAATTCTAGTTTCATTCCACTATGGTCAGAGAAAAAACTTTGTATGATTTCAATCTTTTTAAATTTATTGAGGTTTGTTTTGTGACTTAACATATGGTCTATCCTGAAGAATGATCCATGTCCAACAGAGCAGATCCCTAAAACCAAGGGTTTTCCTCTATTCATCTGACGTATGCCTTAAAGTTTTATGAGTTTCTGGGTTCTAATTGCGAATTTGCACTTTAACAATGTACCTACTTTGTCTTTCCTCTGGTTCACAGTGCTCCTACTTTTATGTCCCACTCTGAACATCTTTTCACCTTTTTCCTTGTTTTTAAAACTTTTCCTCAGTGCTAAACTCACTCCTTGCTTGGAGTGAGTCTAAAATATTTACCATATGGCCTCTAGTAGATTACCAGGGCTGCCGTAACAAACTACCGCAAACTTGGTGGCTTAAAATAATAGAATTTATTCTCTCACAGTTATAGAGGCCAAAAGTCCAAAATCAATGTGTCAGTAAGGTCCATGCTACCTCTGGAGGTTCTAAGGGAGAATCCTTCCTGGTCTCTTCCAGCTTCCGGTGGCCTTGAATTCTGGCTCTCTAACTCCAGTGTCTGCCTCCACCTTCACTTTGCCTTCTTTCATTTCTCCCAAATCCTCCTGTTTCTCTCTCATAAGGACACTTGTTGCATTTAGGGCCCACTTGGATAATCCAGGATGATCTCACCTCAAGATCTTTAATTTAATTACGTATGTAAAGATGCTTTTTCCAAGTTAGGTCACAGTCACAGTTTCCAAGGCACA